TTTTTCTTGCATTTCTTCCATTTTAGAATCTAATCTATTCATGTGACATATAACTTATCTAATCATTGCATGTATTAAGGTTTACTGGGATAAATGGATGCCCCATTACCACGTAAATGCCATAACCATGAGAATGGATGTTTATCCAGCTGGGGTACGCTTTGTGCAACAATGGCACACGTACCGTTCGAGGCAGGTCCAAAAATACGAACTGGTAAACACACACACACACGTGCCCGCTCACACACACACACGTGCCCGCTCACACACACACACATAGACGCATCTTATCCAAATCTTATGAAACAATAAGAATTTTCCGTGTATCCACGTCCGCTTTTCACCACCATTACGAACGATAACCCTCTGCCTCGCTTCTTGCTGCAGATCGGGGAAATTAAACACAGATAAAACAAACCTGATCATCAACGACTTGTCACCTGAGGACTCGGCGAGCTATACCTGCTCCTTGGCCGTTGCAGGACAGACAGTGACGCATACCCTCACTGTAGAAGGTAAGGTATCTTTGTAGTTTAGCCACAGAATGAAGGGATGGTTTCTCATTTTGCTGATTTTTATCGAGTAATTTAACTTATTCACTACGGAAACCATTTTTTAAAATCATGTTTCTTTATCTTATACATGCCATAGTTATATTTTCCTTTCTTTGCATATATCGATTCATTCATTATACAAGAGAGAAATATGTTTTTTAGATAATTCACTAATAATGCATTATCGTTAAAGTACCATTATTCTCATCATGGATGGTGTCATACCTATTACTAATATTAGTAATACCATTATCATTGATATCAATACCTTTTATATTACCATAAAAAGCATTGTCATTATCATTTCTTATCTTTTCCTTTTCATCACTGCTATTAATGTAACATATTACGGTTTCCAACATTATTGATTTACTTTCTACCATGTTTGCTCATTACAACTAGTGTTATTTCTATTGTTCATTGCGATATCTAATTATATTTTATCCGCATTATTACTCTCCCTGTAAAATTTGCATTCTTACCATGGTTTCGATATTACAAATCGTATTCATTTTCCCTCTCATCTCCATTCCTATGACAGGTGGCAGGAGACAGGCGCCGCCACTGATGCTGACGGCGCTTCCGACTGACGGAAGAGTGTCAGCAGGCGAAGGCTTCCCCGCCACCCTCAGCTGCGTTGTCTCCGGGTCCGATGCCGCCGTGTCGTGGCACAAGGTGGTAAGTGTCCACGGCGCCGTTGCGTGAGGGTAACTGAGATTTCGAAATCTCGCCATGATTATAGTGATTTATCAAATGATTTTTAACTAAATATATGTGTTTAAATGTGTTTGTGTACCTATCTATACACAAGCGCACATTTATATTGTAATTATTAATATCATCATTATTACTCTTGTTTCCATTATCATTCGTGTATTGCTGCAGAGGATAGTTGAAATAGAATGGGGACCAGCATAGAACCTTCGGGAAAACCGTTCGGTCTGAGGTCCGCACGACCAATTAATATCCTACACTATGGGACAATCTTCGTCTTTTCGTATGAAGAGACATATGATCCGAACCTGTCACGCTGACATGAAAATATAAACATGACGCCCAAGTAAACAAACAAGTTGGGTCTCAAGCATGAAAGAGTATCCAATAATACTGATCCTTCGTAGCACAAAATCAAGCCAGAAACAATTAAAATAAAAATGGTCGCCGTCGCCTTCGTCTGGGAAGAGAATTCACTGAAATGTATTCATTCATTAATTTGAGAGTTTTAGCTTCGCCCGGGCCTTCCATATATGGCCCGGTCTCATTTTCTTCTCTGACACTCGGTGCTTACTGTGGCGGTGGGATTGTCAGCAGGCGCTCCTGCCGCCATGGTGTGAGCATACTGCATAATCTCTTTACCAGCATGGCAGCTGTTGTCGGCGATCCCTGTCTCAGGAATTGTGTGTACTCACAATTCTGTAAATAATGTACGAGTGTGGCGTTCGGCTCGCCGCAATGCATACAACACCTCTCTTCACGGTCTATTGTCTCTATAACCTGCCATGCACACCGGAAACCTAGTCGCATTCTGTGAAGAATGACTTCGGTACCTCTGTTGATTATTTCAGAGAGTGCTAGTCGTTCATAACCTGTGGCGTCTGATTACCAGCTGGCCGAGGGGGAGGATCTCGTTTCCTTTCTGTAAAGCTGCAGGAGGAGGGTATGAGCGGCCGCAGTACACTTCTCCTTTAGTATTTTTCGGCTTGGTTGTATGATCATGGGATTTGGGGGCATACCCCTGCCAATGTCGGCTAGTCTGTCAGCAAGCTTATTCCCTCTGATACCAATGTGGCTGTGGACCCAGTTAATGATTACTCTTCTACCCTGAGCAAGAATTATCTGCCTATGGTAAGCACAGTGGTCAGGAGGCATATGTTGTCTTTGAGTGAGCTGTGCTGAAGATAGTCATTGGCTGTCCTGGAGTCTGTACGTATGACCACGTGTCCTGCTGCAGAGGGATCGTCTGATCCATCCGTGAAGTATGTTCTACTACCCGGAGGCGTGATGGCTGTAATGACCCTCTGGACTTCTGCCTTTAGACTAGGCATGAAAAATTGGCTCTTTTTCATTGACAGGCTCATTATAGAGAACTCTATCAAGGTTTGTGCCCACGGCGGGGCTTCAACAAAGTTAGGGTGGGGGGAGTCCATGCCCTTGGCAAGAAGCTGTTCTTTGAACTCATGGCGAAGCAACACCCTTGACTGTGTGGGACAGCCAGGAGTTGTTTGCAAAGAGCTCTTTGTCTTGTTCTAGGCGTCTGGCGTATTTTTTGTCTAAAGCTTGTGTTCTTGGGAGCCAGGATGACCTTTGACAGGAATTGTGCTGTCATTAGAACGATTTGTGAGTCCATGGGGAGAAGGTTTGCCTCCAAGAGGAGGTTGAGGATCTTCGTCCACCTTGGGGCACCCAGAATGATCTTGGCAGCTTCATAGTACATAGAATGATCTTAGTACTTTGTGTCTGGCTCCTATGTGTCTCCCAGTTATTACTCTCATGACAGACTCTCATGCTTTGGTTCAGTCAACCAGATACCAGACCTCCTTCTGGAAGGTCCGGTTTATCCTTACCCCAAGGAATTGGAAGTCCTGGATTCATTCCAAGTCCATTCCCTGAATTTTCAGTCTTGTGCCTTGAACTTTATGTCTCAGAGCCATGGCTTTGGATTTGGCTGCAGAGATCTTTAGTCCTGTCCTACAACACTCCTCAGATACAAGGTCCAGACAATGCTGGGCTTTATTTAGGCAGTATGGACCAGTGGAGGTGATAGCAAGAGCGTCTGCATAGGAGATGATCTTGCACCTCACTGGGAGGTTTATGGTGAGGATGCGGGACATTAAAGTGTTAAATAGGGCTGGACGGAGAACCCCACCTGTGGTGTTCCATTTTCTAGTGGCATGTGCTGTGATAGGTGACCCTGGAATTTGTCTCTGGCTGTCCTCTTCCTGAAGTAGTCACCTATCCAAGCCAAGAGCTTTCCTCTAATTCCTTTCTGGATCAGGCTCTCCTGAATGGCAAGAGGACTTGCTAATTCAAAAGCCTTTCCCAGAATACTACCACAGATGTGCCTGTGCTGATTGTGCTTAAGAGCGTGGCTATGCTGTGCGCTGTGCTCATGCCTCTGGTGAACCTGTGTTCACGTGGGGGTCCCATTTTCCATTGGAGCCGGTTTAGTACCATCCTCTCAGCCGTCTTGGCCAAACAGCTGAGGAAAGAGATGGGGCGATACTTCCCTGGCTCCTTTGGTTTTGGCATAGGAACTATGGAGCCCTCTTCTAACTCTGGGGTAGAGTGGAAGTTTCCCAGACCTTGTTGATGAGTTGCAAGAGTGCAACTCATCATTGCATCTCAGACAGTGGGCCAAGGCACTTTGACACGCCTGCCAGTTGGCCATGTCTGTTTTCCACCTTGGATTTGGTCGTGGCATTTGGGCTGGGCCAGCATTCATGAGGTTAGTTATAGTGCCATAATGGTCACTTGTGACAGTCTCATCGACACACCAGCTAATCGTCTCCACCAGAGGCCAAGGTGAGGTCTAGGGCCCCTCCTCTGACATGCGTTGGCTTTCGGGTATTGAGAAGAGCGATCTCAGGGAATGTCTCGAGCACGTTGGCTTTGTGATAGCCAGCCGCATCCGGTGCCCAGCAGGGAGCCAGGATGGGGTGGTGTGCATTGAAGTCTCCCCCTATGATCATGGACATGTGCAGCAGAAGCACAGACCTGGCTGATGTCTAAGCTCTTACAGCCTGGTCAGCTGTAAATATTGTACAGTTTGAGGGGCCCCCAGCCAGGGGGATTGTTGCTTTGACCAGGGCGATCAAACCTCTCTTGCCAGCTGTGTGTGGCAGCATGAAGACATGATACTCTGAGAAGTGAACAGTGACCACTGTTAATGTCTCCTGGAGCGTGATAGTGTCAATGTTCCTTGATCGCACTATTGTGTGGAGGATGGCATTCTTTGTGGAGAAGCCATAGATGTTCCACTGTAGTATGTTTAGGTTGTGTGTCAGGATGTTACTCGGTGATAGTTACATCAGAGACATCGTCATATTTGGATTGAGGGTGTTGGAGAGTCTTTGGTAGCTCTGGCTTTAGTTAGTTTAGCTTTTCTCTCTTCAGGCTGTTTCTGTGTGTTTTTCATTGCTGGCCTTCCTTGGGCAAGGTCAGTGTGCTCTGGCTCTGGCTGCACAGATTCAGCCTGGTTTGGCTCTGCCTGTGAAGGTATGGCCTGGGTTGGAGTGGGGAGGGGAGTCTCATCCTGGGGTGAGGGTGGGGCTAGTTTGGCTCTCTCTAGCTTCCTTCCCTTCAGGACAGCGACAGTCTGGGTCATTGCCGTCATGGCGACCGTGACTGCCATCTCGGGCTCTTCACTCGACCTCCCAGGACTGTTGCTACTGCTGTGACTACAGCAGTCAACAGGAGAGTCATATCTTCCTCATCAAAGAGGAGATG